CAATCGCCTTTATTCCCTCAAAATCAATCATATTACTTACAATATTCAGAGAAGTTAAAACAGTATTCTTGTAAAGAGCTTCCGCTATAGCTTTTACTCCTTCAGGACCCATATTATTATTACAAATAATCAAGGAGGTCAGAGCAGTGTTCCTGTAAACAACTTCTGCTACTGCCTTGCCGCCTTCAGTACCAAGATTATTATCAGAAAGGTTTAAGGATCTCAAAGAAATATTATTGTGAAGGACTTTTGCAAGTAATTGTCCGCTTTTAGAACCAAGTTGGTTAGAACTAAGTCTTAATGAAGTTAAACTTGTGTTTGTATAAAGAACATTTGCAAATTCTTCTGCCTCGTCGTTACTAAAGTTATTATCAGAAAGATTTAAGGTAGATAAAGTTGTATTCTCATGAAGAGCCTCTGACAATATTCCCATTTCTTCAAAACCAAGTTTACAACGCCAAAGTCTTAATGAAATCAAACTGACGTTTTTATAAAGAATATTTGCTAGTGATTTTATAGCTTCCAAACTAAATTTAGTGTTAAAAAGATCTAAAGAAGTCATAGTGGTGCATTCTTCTAATACTCTTTCTAATCTGTTATTAGTGATTTCACTTAAATTTAAATACTTGATTTGTTTGCTTGTTCGTGTTAACATTGAAATTAAAGAATCTTTGACTGGGATAATCACATTTTTGTATTTTATATATAATAAAGAATATTCAAGAAAATCATCACAACAAAATTCGTATTCCTGACGGTAAAGATAATTTAGAATTCCTCGTTCTAAATTGAAACAACTAAAATAAATAGTATGAGAAGTATATTCAAATAAGAGTTTTTGATAATTGGGAAGTATGATATTTAGTGGAATTAATAACGACATTTCTTCAGCATTTAACGATAAAAGATATACTTTTATAAGTGCACTACTTCCGTAATACTTTAATGGTTCGCTCCATAATATTGGAATAATAATTTTACACCATTGACGGTTTACCAGAAGACATGAAAATAAGCACCTGGGATAATTTTTAAGGCAAATAAATATTTCCTCAAGGCATTCATTCATTAATCTGATCATTTTGAAAGGGTTAAAAGATGAAATTAATAGGATTGCGTTATTGTCCGAAGGACGTCCATTTATTGTTCAGTCAAAGTTATACAAAGGTTACGTTTTGCAGCAAAAATTACGCTTTTTGATGGAATTACAGCAGATCGGTATGGTATGGGGTGACCAGATTCGTATGATTTTGAAAACCATACTAAACTAATTAGATACTGTAATGCCACACAAGTCTGGTATGGGTTTAAAAATTAGCCTATACTATACGGATCTAGTCACCTACACCGATTTGTGAAATACGTCTTTTTGATTAGCACTAGCTTCTAACCCGTGACAGAGCCACGGGTTCTATAAAAAATTCACTATTTTTGAAATCTTGATCAGGAATCTGTTTATTAAGTATTTGCTGAATAGTATTAGCACGGAGGGGTTCATATAATTTTCCTGACTGTCGTTTTTC